TCTGACTTGGTTCTTGCATTTTATTTATTGTACATTTTGTTTCTTGGTCTAATTATAGTTCTTTTATTGTAAGCTTATTTATATCTTTTTGTGATAGTAGATGACACTATTGTTTAATGTCAAGTATATGGGTATATATTGCATTCTATACAATATGTGTGCCTATATACTTACAGTTAATAAAGAATGAGTGCCAATTGAGTATTATTACCTTCAATAGTTTTAAAATGAAGGCAATGTCAAAAATTACATTACATTACGTTTGGCCCCATAACATGAGTGGTTTAGTCAAAGAAAGTTGATAGAGGACATCAGGAGGGGAAAAAAACAACATAAAACAACTACACCCCTTTGTGCCACTATTAGTGAATTGAAAATGAAATTGACTGCTTCAGAATGTAAAGCAAAACCCTGCAGCCCTTTTGTACTGTGTCCAAATAAATGTGTTTGGAGGGTTGGAGATCTGGTCATTATAAAGGAAAAAAATGACGGAAATTTTGATTTTGATTTTTCACATTTCTTACATCTTTTAAAAAAAATATTTATGCATAAAAGAACTGGGGTACAGGCCAGACATGTAGGGGGGCTAGAGGATTCATCAGAGACAGAGTGGGGAACAGAACAGGCGGAATGACTGAAATATACTTCTGAGGGGAGCAATGGGCGAGTCAGGAGAGGTCTGCTGCACCATGTGGGTTTCTCCCTGGCCGGGGATCGAACTCATGCTGCAGTGAGTGTGGATAGAATAGCTTCATAGGTTGTGTCTTAACCCCTTGCGCTGCCAGGGAGGCCCCATTTCTTATATCATTTTTTTTTTTTTTTTTTTTTTACTTTTCAGCAGTCTGTCTGTCTTGCTCTGCCCTGCCCAGACCCTGGGATATCTGCATTTCAATCATGGAGAAGATGTTTTAATTGTTTAGTAATTTGATGCCACACTTGGAATCCTAGTTTTCATTTCTTTTGATATGTTGTTTTCTTGCCGGTGTTTATAGGTTGAAATTTTTATTGTGATAAGGATATCTAAAATTTACCATTTTAGATATTTTATTTTTTTTTTATTTTTTTTTTAGTGACAGAAACTACATGGCCTACATATTGCCATGCATGTATTTTATTTATTTATTTTTTAAATAAATTTTATTTTTATATTCCCCATACAATTGCAATCCCCTTATTTTGACCCCATGGTTGTTTGTTGATTTTGATATTTTCTTTCTTATAGTTATTCTTTTTCCTAGTCCCTTATTTAAGTTTTCTAGATTCCTGCTATGAGTGAGAGCATTCGGTATTTTTCTTTTTCTCTCTGGTTTATTTTGCGGAGCATGATCCCTTCCAGCGCCATCCATGTTGCTGCAAATTGTATGTGCTTATCTTTTTTGAATGCTGAGTAATATTCCATGGTGTATATGTACCACATCTTCTTGATCCAGTCATCTGTTTTTGGGCATTTGGGTTGTTTCCAAAGCTTAGCTATTGTAAATAGTGCTGCTATAAACATAGGGGTGCAGGTGCTCTTTGGAATTAATGTTTCTGTGTCCTTTGGGTAAATACCGAGGAGTGGAATTGCTGGATCATATGGAAGCTCCATTTCTTATATCTTATAGGAATTCTGCCTTTTTTAGTAAATATGTGGAAGCTGAGTAGAAATGTAAAATAGGTCATTAGAAATTATACAAGTAATACTAAGTTATTTCCCAATATGCTGAAGTGATGAACAAGACAATGACCTCTGTTACAAGGTAGCTTTGTAAGAAGAAGTTGCCTAAAGATTACCAAATAATAAAGATAACTAAATGCAAAAGTGTCTGGAATCTCTCTCTTAGTTGTGTTGATGATTTGTTGTATTTTTCTTTTTAAATTATATTTTCCTCTTGCCTTTATATTTCTGGAAAGGCAATGTGACTATGCATGGGAATCAATATAATCACAAGGAAAATAACCTCAAAATTGGAAATGATAAGCATTTCAAAATTTTCTGTTCCTTCTTTTTCCAGCCATTTTACTCTTTCTTCTCCCAAATATAGTAGGTACGAAGGTCTTCTGGGCTTTTATCCATATAACCTCAACAGCCCAGTTTGGACCATGTGGCTCACATCATTTTCCTGATGATTTTGCCATCCCCTCCAATAGCAACATACACAAATTTCTGTTAGCTGCCTCCTCTTTGCTTCATTCCTAATACTGTGCTTATTTGTATAACTATCTCCAGTAGATGCTCACCAATTTTGAGGTAAGAGCAGTAACTTGTTCCATATGAAGTCTGAGACTGTATATAGCAGATGGAAGGTGAAGTATGCAGTTGAGGACTTTCAGGATGAGTTTGTCTCATTTCTGTGCTTTACTTAGGTTGCTTAGCTTGATTTTTGTTTAAAAGTACTTTTTTTCTGAAAATGTAAGCCAAAAATAGTTATAATACTCATTTGTCCCTGGGAGTTATATTTAACATTTCTCTATGCATAGTTTATCATGGAAACAATGTAAACTACTGACTCTAGAAAACATTGCCAGCAAATGTAATGATTTTATTTAGTATGTGTGATTATAAATAAATATGTATATTTTAATGGTTGTCATGGAAACCCATTTGTAAAGAAGGGTGTTATTTTATCAATTATATCTCCAGATATAAAATGTATTAAAAATATGTTTGTCATGTAAAACTCACAAATTCTTCCTCCTTTTTAAAGTGGTGTTATTTCTGAAGTATGCATGTAGGATAAATAATTAATCCAGGAAGTACACTGTTGTTTGAATATTTAAAGTTTAAAAAAGAGCAGAATTACAAAGATCTAAAAATCAGGTATTGTCAACAATAATAATTTCACAGTTTTCAAACCACCTACAATCATTTGAATTAAGATATGGAGTAGGGATCACCTAAATACTTAAATACAGGTACATTCTAGATACTTATAAAAAATTATGGCCAATGACCACTTTAGAAATTTCCTCTAGCAACCTCTAGTATATTGTTTCAGACTTTTGAAAATGTCTGTGAGTTGAATGAAACCCATCTGGGCTGCTCTGCTTGATGTGACTGTACTAACTCCACACACACCTTTGATGCCATCCATAACAACTTTTCGTTTGACTAAGAAATATTGGAAATTTTTGTTGTCTTGAGGAATGCACTTACTATTCCAGCCAATTTCAAAGAGAATTTTGCAAGATCCAGTTTTATGGCATGGAAATACCCATTTATTTTTATAGTTCTTTTTATTTTTAACAAATTAACAACAAATAAAAATAAATCCCTGAATATTCATATTTATAGGACTCATTTGAACCAATTTTAGTTGGCTATATTACTATTTTGAAGTGTTAAATATTGGACCAAGGAATTGGCAAGTATTGAGTGGGCTTGATGTAGTATGAATTGCCCAACATTTGTTTTAGAGTGACAAAACAATGTGATTGGAGTGTGAGACAGACTCAGGGAATGAGAATGTGTGTGGGTGAGTGGCCGTTAGCAAGTTCGGAGGATGAGATGGAAATAACTACCATAGCTTAGTAGACCCTCAAGTTTTATCTTTGAATGTCTACCATGTCTTCTCATTCAGCATTGAATTAATGAATAGCATCAGTAAAGAAATTTGTCAGACCTGGTAGTTATATCAGGAGTTATATAGAAAAATAGTAATGAACACTAGGAAAATAAATAACGGTAAGTTCAGGAAACATAACTAAAAATGCTGCACTGGTATAAATTGAATAATAAATTCCTAGTCATATTTTGCCATAAATAGAGATTTAGAAATTTGTCATTCACCTTATTTAAAATTCAGAAATATTAAAGGTACAGGAGTCTCTCATTATAGAAATAATAGAATTCCAGCTATTACGGAGTTAGGGTCATTTAAATGGCTAGAGCATGTATTATATCAATAAGTGGGACATCTGCATGAAATGTCCACCTGCTGATCTACTACCATGCTGCACATTTCAATGAGCTGCATTTAATCATTTTAAGACTTCTTCTAATGAAGTCTTATCTAGATTAACATTTTAAGCACAAATACTTTTAGGCATTAAAACTCTCATGCTAAATGAAATTGCATTGTCTTGTTTACCCTTGTTGATTAATAAGCAATCTGTTAACTGTTAGAACAGTCCAATTGTGGCAGTAGAAGGAGATTAGTAATTCAGTAATGTTTGTGGATATAATCATCATTTCTCCTGAAGGCTTTGAATTAGAATATCACTTACACATTATCCGTAGGCAAAGAAAAGATATAATATTTTTAGACATGTGTATCCACTATTTTGCTTGAATCGTTCAGCTTAGGGTCACTGCAGCAATACAAATGCTTCTGGGGGCAAAATGTTATTTTGATGCATGTATATCCTTCTGAAATAGTGTGAATGTCTATTACAAGAAAAACAGCAACCAATGAATAGTGCAGCAATAATCTAGTATCCTAATTTCTGTTTTCAGAACATTATTGCTTTGTTAATCAAGCTTTGAGAGAAATGTTGTTTATCCTCTTTTTCAAATAATAGTTCCTGTATTGCAGAATTCCTTGCAATCTTATTTAACTTATTCCCAGTCAGTCATAAAATAAACTTTTGGCTCCTAAGTATTGAGGAGTAAATTTGGAAAAATTCCATCTCTTTTTGGAGGACTTTTTAATCTTCTGTGCTTCCTGTGACCTTGAATCAAAGCATGCAAACTGTTTGACGTTCGCATGACCTCAGTGATTTATTTAATTAAGTTATAAATTGCTATGTGTCAAGGTGACGCCTGTATGTCAAGGTAGGACCCAGCATTTTGATAGAGAAAAGAATGAAAAAGGGAAGAGGAATGGATGTAGCTAAATTCTTTGACATTAGTTGGATATCTATAGGAAGCTCCTTCTTAGAGTCCTTCTTCTTATCCTGTCATTCCCATCTGTGCACATTATAACAATAGCAATTTGAAATTATGGTGAAAGAGGGTGTTTCATGTTTTAAGGACCTCTGCCTTATAAACACTCATGGATGGGTCCCTTTCTGTGTTGCAGTCCCTCTGTTGTGAAATCAAGCAGAGGCGTCGAGGAGTGGCCTCCATCCTGCGATTATGCCAGCATCTTCTGGATGACCGGGAGACCTGCAATGTGAATGCAGACCATCAGCCCATGCAGCTGATTATTGTAAATCTTGAAAGAAGGTGGGAAGCCATTGTCATGCAAGCTGTCCAGTGGCAAACACGGCTACAAAAGAAGATGGGAAAGGAGTCTGTGAGTGATTTTTCTTTTTTTAAAGCATTTGTGACCTCTCATTTTTCTCAGAAAAAAAATTGGAAATGTGTTCTTCTTAAAAGTAGTTTTCTAACTAAAGGGATAGTTATTTCCAACCATTTGTCATAACACAGAGATTTATTTATTTGCCTACTTATAAGACAAATTTTCCTTTTTTTTAAATCACATGGAGATTTCACATAACCTTACCAAATTAAGTCATAATTCTTTCATTTTTTCTTACACTTGTGATAATCTTAAATCATACACTACCCCATGAAGAATTTTTTAGAAGGTGGTTTGCCGCTCTCAGAGCATATAGAGCAATGTGTATGCTCTGCAGATAAGTCATTGAAATAAAGTACACTGTTTACCTTTCATTACATGATATGCATTAACACCATCTATTTGCACAACAACCTACAACCTCCACTGTTTTTGTTTGGAGTTCCTTCTGCTAGCGTAGGTGTAACTTTGCCAAGAAGTAGCAAAGTAGCAAAGTTCCTTCTTAGAGCTTAAATGCAATGCTCAAAGTGGTGGTGGATTCCTCTTAAGAAGTTTCCGAATTGATTGTATTTCAACCTATTGTTAGATGAAGGAAGTTTATGTGACTAGAGTTGTTTTGTTATAATATAGAATACACACTTATTTAGAAAGCGTTCATAGCTTTCAAGGAAAAACTTTATTTATAAAAAGAGTGTGTTTCCCAACGGACCTAGAAGTCAGTATCTGGTGATGCCTAATTCTCATGTCTGACTTACATAAATGAAATACCAATATCCATACATACTTGTGTACATACGTACATACAAAGAATGAAAGGGGTTTTTTAATGTTTATATTATCCTTTCTACATCTTCAAACATTTAAGATTCAAAATTGAAAAATCAGATGGAACTATCTTGCTGCTGAATAATAGGCTTCTCCTATGAATTCTAATTCTAACAAAGCCTTAATATTTTCTATCTTGTGTTTGGCTTTGGGGAGTGCGAACAAAAAAATAATGTGTCAGTAAGCTTCCCTCGCTCTTTTTGCATTTGTAGCCAGGTTGAGTCTAGGGGGTGATTTTATCAACAGTTCATTTTAATTGTTTGGAGCTGAAGTTGTTAAAATTCTTCAGACTTCCAGCCGGGCGTGGTGGCGCGCTCCTGTAGTTCCAGCTACTCGGGAGGCTGAGGCTGGAGGATCGCTTGAGTCCAGGAGTTCTGGGCTGCAGTGCGCTATGCCGATCGGGTGTCCGCACTAAGTTCGGCATCAATATGGTGACCTCCCAGGAGCGGGGGACCACCAGGTTGCCTAAGGAGGGGTGAACCGGCCCAGGTCGGAAAATTCTTCAGACTTCCTAGTTATTACCAGTAATTAAAGTTTATATAATTGGATGTCTTTTCTTGAAATGTCCTGTTTGTTGTAAAGCTATTTAACTGGAGTGTCATCATGATCTTCTTCTTCTTCTTGCTTCTCTCTCTCTTCCTTTACCTCTTTCTGGTGACTGTTTGGAAGGGTAGAAAAGGTTACTTTTATTCAATAGTTCAAAGCCTTTTATACAAAACCAACTGCCCCTGAAGTAATTGACATTTTGAAAGAATTCACACTACTTTGGAGGAGACAAAAATGTATTTCTTGAGGGGGTTATTTGAAATTATATAAAATGGGATGCTGGACTAAATCTTTTTCATACTGCAGTAGATGTAAACGTTTTTATCCTACCTCTGTGATAAGGGTAAGCTTTAGCTTTGAGATACCCTGGTTACTTCTTAGAGGCTCAAACTTCTACCTAGAAGTACATGTGGATTGCAGATAGAGAAAAGTCTTCCCTTTTCTTTAGTTTGGTGCTGCATATGTAGGTTGCTTGAAATGATGAATATGGCAAGTAGGCTGTCTGTGCTAAACAAGGTTTAAAATCACTGTTGAAGAAAGAATTGAAAAGTAGAGAGAGGCACTGTTACCAACAATGCAATGAACACAGGTGCCTCATTCAGTTGGAGACAGTTCTTGTTTCTGATCCTGGTGGTTGGGTAAAGAGTTCAGATTGCTTTGATGGGTAGACAAGTACTTAACAATGTGGGAGGTTGCCTTTGCAGAGAGTTAGAAACCTCTAAGTAGTCTGTTTGCTTTTTCCTTATATGTCCCCACCCCTATGTGTCCTCTTTATGTGCACAGGAACTTTCACTGCTTTATTTCCAGGTCCTGGAACATACTTATACTTAGCAGCTATGTGACAGATTTTTGCTAGATGAATACATGCTTTGATTTAATAAACTTTGCTCCATTCTATTATTTGGTTTTGAGTTCTTATATTTATATTAATTCTCGATGTTCATATATTCTTCAAAGGTGGCTTTGAGTATTGTTTTGTTTCTGAAGGAATATTATACCTTTTTGAAATGACTAAGAAGGTGCCTTTAGTATTCATGTCTGATAAGAATAGTGTTTACAAATTCTAAAACATGATGTAAATTACCATGTTGTATATTCTCCTGTTTTCATAAGTTATTGCAGAAGGAAATTCTGTATGAGGTATTGGATAAAATAGTTGTAAAAATGTGGTTGTGGTTCTGGCACTTAGGATTATAGGTTTTGATTCTATCCCTATGTTATAGGATTTTCTTCATTAGTAACTTCAGAAATAGTTTGTATAAGAGATGTCACCTAATCATCTATCCATTGTTGTTCAATTTAAATCTGTTTGTGTGATGATTTGATTACTGTTGATCTCACAAAACCGTTTTCTGCTCCCACATAATTCTAAGACTTAATGGGTATTCCATGATATTTAAGTAAGCAATATTTATCTAAGTGATATTCTATAGTGATAGAGATTCAAGGTTAAAAATTATGCCCTCCTTCACTTCAAAAAAGTTGGAAAGATAATATAATTAAAAATAACTATAATACTAGGAAATATTTTTAGGTAATTACTGACTTCAAAACTGAACAGTTAATTATACCCAAAGTACAGAAAATCTTCCCATAGTATTTAGGAAAAATTCAGATAAAATGTATACATGTCATTAAACAAGCTTTTCTATTTTCTCTAAGTAGGTAAATGATGACTATATCTCTTTTTTAAAAAATATGAGGAAGCAAGGGGTCTTGCTTTAAATTCTGGGAATGCAAACAGATAAAGCCCAAAAGTACTTTTCTCTCATCATCAAGATTTGAAATTGGGGGAGGGTTGGAAAAAAGATTTTAAATTGTTTGAGAGTGTGCATTGTACTTTTTACATTCAAGCTGTTTTCCCAGACTTATTTCTGTTTATTTTGTGTAACTTGTAAAATTACTGATAAAGTTGATCTTTGTGTATACTTTTCAAGCTTTAATTCAATTCAAATTTTCATTTGACTCATGTGTTTTGTTTACTCCTTCCCTTCTGCCAAAGAAGCTTGAACTTTGTTTCTTTGACATATCACTAACTCCCACCTCACATTGTGACTGACAATATCATGGACTTGTATCATCTTAAATCATCTCATATGCCAAAGCAGCATTCTGGATTTATTATAGATAACCAGGATTTTTGTTATTTTTGATAGTTTAAATATCACTTTGTAAAATAGATACAAATTAAAATGTAGGAGACAACCCATAGTAACAACAATAATTCATACTAATAATCTGTAAACCTATTCAAAACAATGTTTCTTAATCTTTGTTGAGGAAGAGATAACTTGATCAAGTCTTTCTTCCCCTAAAGAAGAAAGTCTTTCCTTCTCTAAGAACATGGAGGTAGATTTCTATTTCTAGACAGGATAGAATAAGAGACTGGATTTACCTCGTACCTGAAACAACTACAAAATTGAACACACATTTATAATTTTCAAGCTACTGAATGCCAGGCAATGAAAGAATGTGAAAAAAATGAGCTGATACATTCCCAAGGCAAAAAAAGAATGTGGGGGCCTCCCCGGTGGTGCAGCGGTTGAGCACCGGGTCGCGAAGCTGCCCGCAGCCTCTGCAGTGTCGGTTCGATCCCTGGCTGCTCCCCGGACACCAGAGGAGGGTCCCACATGGCGCGCAGACCTCTCCTGCCACCCGCTGCTCCCCTCAGCAGTGTACTTCGGTCCTTTTGCCTGCTCTGCTCCCTGCTGTCTCTGGTGAATTCTCTCACGCTCCAGCGTTTCTGACTGTACCCAGTGCTTGTGTAAATAAATAAATAAAAATAAATCTTTTAAAAAAAAAAAGAATGTGAACTGAATGAATTGATATGATTACCCAAAGTTCTTTCTAGAGAGAGTTTCCAGGTCACAGTGTACAGAGAAGAAATCCATCAAACACAGTAGATGCCCCTACCATTCACAGACATGTGACAGAATAATGAAAATGATTTTTCCTTAGTAACGGGGCAAAATGAGATTAAATGCTGCTCTGGTCTTACTTTAAAAAATTAAAAGCAAGAGCTGAAAAGATCAAACTCTTTCAAAATAATTTAAATGCATCCTAGAACAAGACCAAAGAATTTTATAGACTTATAATTAACTAGCATTCAACAAGGTAAAATTTATAGTGTCTGCCATCTAGTCAAAAGTGACCAAGCATGAAGAAAAGTAAAATATATATAATAATGAGGAGGAAAAAAATAAATCAATAGAAACAGATCCAGACATGACATTGACTATAGAATTAATAGATAAATACATTGAAATTTATTTTACTTGCATGCCATGTGTTAAAGAAGCTAAAAATTATTGTTAAGTAGTGACATTGAAGATGTCAATCTAAAATCAAATTTCTGCAGATGAAAAACTTAATAACTAAGATGAAAAATACACTGAGTGGTATTAATCGCCAGTTAGATGTTGTAAAAGAGTCAATCATAAACCTGAATACACTACAGTAATAGCAGTCCAAAATGAAACAGAAAAAAAAAATATAGCATCAGTAAACTATAAGATAATGTCAAACAGCTGGATATGTATGTAATTAGAACCCCTAAGGGAAAAGACAGGGAAAAATAATTTTTGAAGAAATAATGGCCAAAATTTTCAAATTTGGTGAAAGTT